CATGTTACTATACAATAAAATTCAAATTTATTAAATTACTTATGTTGTTATTGTAGAGAGACTTCTTCCTTAGTACTGAGCGAGCTTTGCAACATCTCTTCAACGACACTGAAGATACGCAAAAGTAGCGGGGCATAAATACAGTGGTGGAGCTTTGCCGTGGATTGCTCTTCCAGATGCATATTAAGGACCAACAATCATTTTAATGATAAACTGTACATGTTACACCACTCACCATGAGCTAGGATGCTCCTGATCCTTACATTGGATTTGTTGGCCCGTCGTATCCTGTTTAGGGGCCCTCTGAGGATATCAGATGTTGTCAGACCTGCATGCATACATCAACCCAAATTTTGTACCAATCACCATTCAAACGCCTGACATATCTCAATCTGACATTGTTGTGGATGAGCATCATTTGTTATGTGAAAGGCTTATACGACCACCGCAACATTACACTCCAGACAGTGATGCTTGCCCCAGAGACCACGTAGGAGATGTTAGCTAGGCTTATATTTGTATTACATATAATGTTAGTTTTTGATGATGTTAGCACTATCATGAATTATGTATTTGATTATGCTTATTTTATGCCGTGAACATTTATATATTTATTTTGCTTTGATAACTTTTGTTTATATTATTAATTTAAAAAATATTTATTTAAGAAAAGAAGCAGAATAAATGCTAACTGAGTTTAATGGAAACATCTGAGTTAATATGGATATTCTACTTTTATTATTCTATGCAACACTCATTTTCATATATATATTTGGCTTCAACATTTTGTTTTTAAATTTTTTTAGAAAATCTTAATTTAAAGACAATACAATATAACATAAACTTAATGCTAATACCGTACAAATGAGGATACTAAACTCAATTGGAGAACTTTTACAATACATAGTAAAAGCAAATAATAAGAATAATAATACACAGGTTTATCAATTACTACTATAAGAGAAAACAAACCTAAAGACTTAAAAAAATGTCAACAAATACATTCAATTAGACATTTCAAATTATCATATGCACGCGAGCTTGGAGTTGTGTATGAGTTGGACAACATTTGAAGTGATACTCAAATTTCTGTTGAATATACTGTCTATCTGCTGCATTCATAAACTCCTTATCTCATGTCACAACAACTCTCATAAGCTTTTTATGGGACTCTAACATGAATTCATCCTCTCCACGATGCCATGCATGAACAAGAATACGGTGATCTACATCAACCATTGAGCTTTCAACGATCTACTCAACACAACCTTTTTTGTCACATATGATATCACGAATCCACCCCTTGAAAAAATGCAACGGAACAAAACCCCACTATCTTCCATGAACCACTGTTGTAGATATCTCTAAGATCACCGCCCGCCCTGTACAACTTAACTTTCGTAACTTCATCATGCACACAACACAATATTCAATATTCATCTGCGCTCTAGAAATGCATGCAATACCGAAAAATTTCATCAGCTTTAGCCTCTCTTTAAGGATGTCATCAGTAGGTAGTGCCAAACTTTCTTTCAAACGACTACTACCCTCTTGAATCATCCGCTTCGTGGGAGTTGTGTGAATCAAATCCATAACCGGTGAATGCATTATGAAGTACTATATAAGAAGTTGCAGAATTTTTCAAACTAACTTAAGCCTGAGGGAGCCTTACACTACATATTTATACTCAAATGAAACATTGTTGAGTAAGATAGCTTAAATAAAATAAAAATAAAAATTTGGCAAAAAATCATATATATAATGACAAAAATAATAAAGATGACATTGATAAGACTAACTGATGAAACAACACATTTTTATAACTCAATTCATATGTCTTAAATCATATATGTCACAATTATCGTAATATCCAATTCCATCAAATAGCAAATTCCTTATTTTTTTATAAAAAAATTATGATGTTAGTTGCCCATTGAATGGATGACTTACATAAGTCGTCGATTACGTGGTCAACTTATGTCAACTTAATGTTCTTTTGGGAACAGTTAGCTGACAAAAATGCCAGTTTAGCACAAGTCACCATTTAAACGGTGACTTTGTTTGCTTTTAATTTTTTTAAACAAACTTAAACGTTTAATATAAATTTTAAGAGATTTTTATCTACATAACACCTAAAATTATTGAAAATACATATTTAACATCTAAACTTCTATATTTACTTATACCACCTAAAATTTCTTTTTCCTTCTATTCTACCACTCCATTGAAGCGATGAGATACTTGTATTCATTGTGAAAGGATGCCATTGACAAGGAAAACAGTCGTTGATAGTGATTTTTCACAGAAGGTTTAAATGAAATGTTAGAATTGATTAAAAGAGGGGTTTTAGGTGGTATATTAATAAATATAAAAGTTTAGGTGTAAAATATATATTTTTAATAGTTTAGAATGTTATATATGTAAAAATCTCAAATTTTAAATGTGCTTAGTCTAAAAATATTCCCCTCAAAATTTCACGAGCATGAAATTACCTCTTAAAAAAAGGGAAAATTACATACATACCACTATATACTTAATATTTTACATATCTAACACCTCATACATTAATATTACATATTTACCACTTAAATCCCTACTTTATATCGTTTCTACCACTCCATCTAACGCCTAATCACGACGTTTATGCCTTCCCGCCCCATACCTGTGACGGACGGACGGACGGACGTATTTCTTCCCGCCGAAATCCCCGTTGCCGCTAATTCTCTCATATTTTCTTTTGTCGGACATCTCGCCATTTTCGACCATCTGAAGCCGAAACTGTTCCTGATCGCATTGTTCTGCACGGTAATGTCTTCCGTCGTATTTCCTTCAGGGTTGCTACAATGGCACTAATAAGAACTGCTACAGAAATTTGAAGATTTTTTTTTAAATAAATAAAAGTACTATAGCTTTTGTGGATAAACAAACATAGATGCATGCACTTATTTTTACCTTCACGGCTGTTACAATGGCATTAATAAGCACTGCTACAGACATGATATGGATTTTTTTTTTAAATAAATAAAAGCACTGTAGCTTTTGTGGATAAACAAACAGAGATTCATGCACTTATTTTAAAACTTCCATGGCATTAATAAGCATTGTTTGTTGTTTGAAACAGAAATTTGAAGGAAATTGTGTATTTATTCGAAGCAAATACAGATGTGTTCCAAGACGACCGATTCTGTAAGTGTTCAATGATTCATATACAAGACTTCATAAATGTTCAAATAACATTTTAACCATTGTTACTGTAGGCTTATGGTGACAAATTGATACTCCATTCAATTCTGCACATAAGCATTGCTCTTGTCATATCATAAGCATTGCTATTGCCACATACTCCATTCTGCACTGGAGCTCCGAATTTATTTTGACATCTTATATTGGAACTACCAGGTCAGCCTGGAGTTAATACCGGATATTGGAACTACCAGGTTATACAAATATTGGAACTACCGGATTTTGACATCCCAACTGGAGCTAATACCAGATTTTCACATCCGAACGAAACTGGTCCGGAACTGGAGCTTTCATCTTATATTGTTGTTATAAATGCTAAAAAGTAATTAGATGACAATGCAACTGTGAAAGAATCACATTAGTCAAACTTCATATATATAATTTGGGATTCAAATACAAACTAACATTAAACCAACAAGTACTCCATTGCACAAAGTTTTTTAATTCCACAAAAGCTGAAAATACATAATTCCTTTTCATACAATAGAAGGAGATAATTTCTCCAAGATACACCAAAGTTTGCTTCGCATTCCACAAAAGCAAGCACAACATATGCTTGAACACAACATAACACTAACCAAAATAAACTCGAGCTGTAATGTCGATAAAAACCATCACTAGCAAAACTTTCAACATAAGACGAATTGAGTCAAAATTCTTAGAATTCCTTGCTTCATATGCCTTCAATTCGTAATGTGTGACATAAGATGGGTCTTCTAGCTCATCCACCCATTTAAAGTAACTGCAGTCGTCCTCACTTCTATTATAAACACACCTATAAAACTGCCTTCCACTGTTGTGTCCTCGGTGGCAGGTAAACAAGACACATTTTAGATGACAATGACAGTACACCTTAGAATGTTGCGGCATGTTTTTCACAACGGAAGAACTCATTAAAACTTTTGCAAAACCTGAAAATATGCACAACAGCAGATTTATGCATAAGCAAATATCGATTTATAAATTAATAAGAAAGAAAATTTCATAAATCTATACTTATAAAAAAGGTTTTCAAACACGAAATCGTTACATAAGCAAATGCCGCAGTAGGAGATTTTGAAGCTATAATACTTCAGTTTTTACTAGCTACAAAATCATTTTAAAGTCCGGTAAAGAACCTTCCTAGGAAAAGCTAACAAAATCATTTTCAAGGAAATAATTTAGGAATGAAGAACGGCAAACTTGAACGAGGTCCGGCAATATTTAACGAAAATCAATGTGTAGGTGACGAACAACAAGCTCTCCGAGCAAACCAAATCATTTTGAAAAAAAAATGAGAGAATGCATCAGGAAGACCGGCAAATTTAAACGAGGTCCGACGAATTTTAACGAAACTCATCATTTAGTTGACGGAAAAGAAGCCAGTCTCCGAGCAAAACAAATCATTTTGAACAAAAATGAGAGAATGCATGCGAGCTTACCTTCCTCCCCTTTTGCAAGCTCCGATTCCTCCTTTAGTTCTGCCCTAACCGAGTCTCAGATTCGGGTCCAACAATAAGGCAGAGAAACGTTGTTCGGAAGGCAGAGAAACGTCGTGAGGCGGCGTTAGATGGAGTGGTAGAAACGATATAAAGTAGGGATTTGAGTGGTAAATGTGTAATATTAATGTATAAGATGTTAGATATGTAAAATATTAATTATATAGTGGTATGCATTTAAAAAAAAAAAAAATTGAGAGAGAAAGGAGGAGAGCCGAACTTTTGCATTTGCATTCAAAGAAAATGGCATTACAAAGGCACCACAAAACGATTAAACAAAGACCTGAGCCAACCGGCCCGTATAACAGAGAAGACCTCCTATCCTCCTCAAGGATAAAAAAAAGCCTTGAGGAATAGAGAGAGGGGGAGAGAGAGGGGGAAAGGTTCGATGGGCGAAATGGGGACCATAGGGTAGTCATCGAAAGGATACGGTTAGCGATGGCAGCCATCGATCTCTGCTCTCCCTCTTTCAAAAGCTCGTCTTTCCAACGATTTCGGGGAGAAAAGGCGTCGATCTGCTTGGTATATGGCAGAGCGCTTGCGAAGGATAATCGGAAGAGGGCAGCAACCTGCAATGCCTCAAACAGTTCCCCTGGAGGAGTGAGAAGCGGCAGCAGGAGAAGCAGGATGGAAGACTATAACACAGCAATGAAGAAGATGATGAGGAACCCTTATGAATACCATCACGACCTGGGTATTTTTTTCTCTCCTAATATTATTTTAGGTTTTGTTTAAAAAAACATGATTTTGTTTTTGGGCTCTTGAATTTCGAGGAAACACCGAGATTAGCCTGCGGAGAATTTTCTCCACGGAATGTGTACTGCTGCAAAATCTTAGCAGTATCTTTAACAAGATTGAAACACAAATGGAAATAAAAGAATAAAAAACATCATCTATTAGAAAATAGAAGAGGGAACAAGTAACCTTTATCTGGATCAGCTGTTATTTTTACAAACTATTTGGGACATGAAACTTTAAATGCTGAAGTTGCTTCTGCCTTCATTAGGGGCTATTTAGTAGCAATTTTTTAGCAGAATTTAAATGAGATTTGACTAAATATTCGTAAAACAGTAAAAAAGGAGAACTTAAACTCTACAGAATGTTAAATCCCGTTTCCCTCCTATTTTATGTTAAATCCTGTAGTTACTAAATATAGGGATTTGACTTAAATACTTAGCCTTTCTTCTCAATCACTAACTCCTCTTCACCTTCATATACTGTTGGTCCCTTTGATGCCTTCTCCCAGCTTCCTTCTGTTGTGGCATCCTTGGCATTGATATCTTTCTTCAGAATACACCACTGGCTTCCCGTTGCACCAAAGTAAAGAGTATTAGGGTTAGGTTTATAGCTGTTTATGTACTTTTAGACCTCTAATTTTTTTCTTATTTCCAGGAGAATATATTAGGTTTGAACATTGTATGTAGAGCTATATGTGGATAAAGTGGACACAACTGCATGCTAGCTATATACTCTGATTTTTTTTAATAAGCAAGTATACGCTATACACTCATAGCTTGCCATAAAAAATGGAGTACATAGTTAGTACATAATTGTGTACTCTGATTTATTAGAGTATGCAGCTGTTAAGAATAATGAATCACAAAACTATGGACAAACTAGAGTGCACAACTATATAGTTCAAAAAATTTTGGTAGGTAGTGAGCAAATACCGTGTACTCTCCGCTTACCAAAAAAACCTGAGTACGCAACTAGTATGCACTTGTGTACTTTGATTTATTTGCACATAGCCCTACTTGTGGTGTCTAAAATTAATAATTTCTCCATTTTTTAGGTAACAATGTGCAATAATAATGCTTCTTTCTCGATTGTCATTGTAAATTTTTTTTTTCAATATTTCGTTTTCCAAACATCATCATTATTTGTGATTTGATTTTTTTTCTTAACCATTTTAATTTGTTTATTTGAGTGAACTTATTTACAATTTAATTTGATTAAATGAAAGTTATTGTGTTTAATTAATTTTATAAATTATTAATCAATGATTAGTTGTGATGTTATTTTATGTTAATTATTATTGAGTTAGTCTAATTCAAGAACAACAACAACGATGACAACAAGCCTTTATCCCACTATGTGAGGTTGGAAACATGATGTTTTTTTCTCCATCGTGTTTTAGTTAGAGTCCAATTCTCTTTTAATCTAATAAAAAAAGGTCATTTCTAATACTTTCTAACCAAATTTTTTTTGATCTAAATCTACCATTCTTAACATAGGCCGAATCTATTACATCTACTCTCTTAACTGGGTCATCAAAAGACTGATGTTTTATGTGACCAAATCATTTGAGACGACGCTCTCTAATCTTATTTTTACCACTGCAGCTTTTCAAACCTTTTCACATATATGCCATTTCACATTCTGTCACTGTGTAAAGATGTTCATTTTATGTAATACTTAATTTTATGCTTACCTTTTAATGACCAACATTTTGTGCTATAAATCATTGTTGGTCTTACCACCATGTTATAAAAGATTCCTTTAAGTTTGAGGGATACTTTTCTATCACACAACAGGCCCAAAGAATTCCTCCACTTCAACCTTCCAACTTGGATTCTAATAGTAATATCTCCATCTATTTAACCATTGCTTTGAAAAATAGACTTGATGTATCTAAAATGTGCACTTTTTTAATTACTTGATCGCCCAATATCACAATTCCACCACTAGATTTATTACTACTAAAATTACACTATATATTCGATTTAATATCTACTCAAATAAAAACCTTTAGACTCTAAGATTGACCTTCATAATTCAAGTTTTTCATCAACTTCCTCTCTAGTCTTAGCAATAAGAGGAATATCATTAACAAACAACATAACCAATGTACATCCTCTTGCAAATGTCTAGTAAGAACATCCATGACTAAAGCAAAAAGAAATGGGCTTAAAGCTAATATTTGATGTAATACAATTGGAATAGGAAATATTTGGTTAAATTAGCTTTTGTTTGAGCACAAGTAACAACTCCTAAATGCATATCCTTAATGATTTGAATATAAACATTATTAAATTTTTTAAGAACTCTATAGAGCACTTCTCTTGGAACTTTAGCATATGTTTTCTTAGAATTAATAAATATCATATGTAGATTCTCTCAATAAATGTATAGCTTCCATAGTAGACTCATCCGTCATGAATCCAAACTAATTTTTAGAAACATTGGTATCGCGGTGTAACCTATGCTCAATTACTCTCTCTTATAATTTTAATGTATGACATATTATGATGTAAAACGTACATGCGAGGATGAGATACTTGAAGAGTTTGCACGCTTAAGTGTTAGAAGCCATAATAATCATATCTTCACAATGAATTTTCTAACGACAAAAGAAAACACTAAGAGCGGTAAAATAAGCTTAGGCCGAATCACGTGCGTGAAAGTTAAGATCAGAAAACAATCAAGTTAATCTAACGTTGCATACATGAATAGTTTCAACAATAAATCCCTATGCTAACAATAAGATTAGTACTATGAAATGACCATCACACATTTTTACTAAACACAAAGCTTTAGCGGAGAATAATTGACATGATCGTCATAAATCACATTAAAACTATAATTGATGAGTAAACTAAGGAGATAAGAGAATTAGAGGGAGGTCTACCCAAAAATCAGAAAATAAGCAGTTCCCGCGGCTGTAGGAAGACTTGGGAGAAAGTAGGAGGCATTCAAGAACCTTCCTAAAGGTGTATTGAGCGGTCTGGAATGTCCAGACAGTGTTTGAAGACATTCTAGCGGGCTGGACAGCAATGGATAAAAAGTTCCAAATCTCCTAAACAGCAGGTTTTAGGTGCTTGAAATGCGAAACAGCAGACAGGAGAGGTCTGGACAGCAATGGATTGAATTCTGGGGCTGGCCAGCTAGTGTGGAACTGCAGAAATTTGCTGGACATCAGTTTACCAACATGCAGAATTCTAGACAGCAATCCCGTTCAGAAAATACATCAGGTTTTCGTGATCAGTTGGAGGGAACGGAGTGGTGTAAGGGATTAGGAGTTCCCTTGCAGCTCTCTCCTCCTCAGGAATTAATTTTGAGAGCTAGGGAGAGAGGTATACAGTTAGAGAGAGGGGGAGGGAAATTAATCACAAAATCTGGGATTAATTTCAGATTTTAAGTGGATTTGGCGGGATTGAATTTGAATTTTGAATTCAAATTAAAGTGGGAATTAATGGACACTTGTTTGGAGCCATGATTTAAGCTCCTAATTAAGGGGAGGACTAATGGGTGGCCATAGAGAGAGAGAGGGAGGGATTTGGGGAGAGGATTTGTAACTTCCAAATCAATTTATGTCATTTAGGAAAGAGAATGACAATTCAAATCCAATTTGAAATTCAAATAGACTTGGAGTTATGCACTTTTCTAATTTAGATTTGCAAATAAGGAAAGTTTTTGAAATTTGAATTTCAAATTTCAAGCTGAGGCAAGTGAATAATAAATCCAATTTGATTTATTTTGAAATTGAATTCATGATTGATACTTTCCTAATTTGGGATTCTCTATATGGAAAGAATTTGAAATTCGAATTTAAATTTCAAAATAATTCAAAATTTTTCTCTCACGCTTGAGCTAAATTTGGAAGTCATTATGGTGATTGAATTCAACATAATGAGGGGGAAATTATGAGGGGGGCCGGAGGCAAAGGGGGAGGAGGAGATGGCGTCGGGTGAGGGGAAGGGGAAGGGCTTGAGCTGTCGGTGGGAGCTTGAGGTGGTGAAGCTAATGAGGACTTGGGGAGGAGGGGATGGCCGGTGGTGGATGGAGAGGGGGAGAAAGGAGATGAATGAAAAATACAAATAAGATAAAAGTAAACTAACGAACTCACAAAGAGATCGTAAGAACCGCGAACCTTGGACTCTTCCAAAGATTGACGGGTATTGCAAATCACCCTCCTCAGGCTTCTTCTCTCATGAACTCACTAAGAGATCAACAAGAACAAACTCTTTTTTTTCATTCAATAATTCATCATCCAAAAATACAAAACAACTAGCCTATAAATAGGCCTCATGAAAAGAAAAGAAATAAAAGACTAAAATGCCATTCGGGCTACAACACTTCATGACCACCCGTAAGAGTATAAAGGGAAAAACAACAATATAAAATGAACTAGTACAAAAAACATATAAATAACTCAAGATCGTAGTCGTTGATCTCCGATGTCCTCATCATATTAACTTAGTTCCTCAATAATTCACATACTATTGTGCATCACTTTGATTCTTAAAATTAGGAAGCAACACGCTCCTCCCCTCATCTAACATCTTTTTAGTCTTCAAAATAATATTAAAAAAATACTAAGCCAAAAAATTCTTCGATCTGTTAAGCATTTTCATTCATCTATCAAAATATCATCAGCCCATTGCGTTTCAACACTTCATTTTCTTAAAGCATCTTTAACTTCGATTTTACTAATATGACGATAAAAAAAAATCTTTACTTTCAATTAAGGTGTTAAGATCACTAAAGTTAACTATATTTCATAATCTTTATTGAAAATTTTATCAAAATATCTTTGAATATCTTCTAAGAAAAATAATCCTCTTTGATCTTCATCTTTAATACACTTCACTTGAACTAAGTCCTTACTTGTCCTATCTCTTCGCTTGACTAACTTATACATACATCTTTCGCATTTGCTTGACTAACTTATACATACATCTTTCATATTCCTTAGTATCTAATCTTTTATATAAATCATTAAAAATTAAATTTTTTATATTGCATATTACTTTCTTAGACTCAATACAACCCCTCTATATACTAATTTTTATAATAAAACTTTTTATTTTTGAGCTTTCCATGCACATTTTGACTCACTACTAATTATTTTTGTTATTATGAGTTTTTTTTTTGATTCTCTAATCACATATTTTGCAGCATTCTTAATATTACTAATTATTTTTTTCCACATAGTATTAACTTTCTTATGAATAACCCAAATATTGAGATCTTGAAGCATATTATCAAAAGTATTTTTATTAGTGTTATTTAAATACTCCCGAGGCGAGTTATGGAGCATAGGTTGCGGCGTGATACTAATGTTTCTCAAAATCAATTTGGATTCATGCCGGGTAGGTCGACTATGGAAGCCATACATTTATTAAGAGGTTTGATGGAGAAATATAGAGAAAATAAGGAGGATCTACATATGATATTTATTGATTTAGAAAAAAGCATATGTTAAAGTTCCAAGAGAAGTGCTATGGAGAGTTCTTGAAAAGAAAGGAGTTAATAATGCTTATATTCCAATCATTAATGATATGTATGCAGGAGCTATTACTTGTGTTCAAATACAAGGTGGTTTGATCAAGTATTTCTCTATTTCAGTTGGGTTACATCAAGGATCAGCCTTAAGCCCATATCTTTTTGCTTTAGTCATGAATGTTCTCACTAGGCATTTGTAGGAGGATGTACCTTAGTGTATGATTTTTGCTGATGATATTCTTCTTGATAAGACTAGAGAGGGAGTTGAAGGTAAACTTGAATTATGTAGGTCAACCTTATAGTCTAAAGGTTTTTGCTTGAGAAGATATAAAACAGAATATATGGAGTGCAATTTTAGTAATAATAGACCTAGTGAGGGGATTGTGACTTTGGGCGATCAAGTCATTAATAAGAGTACACGTTTTAGATATCTTGGATCTATTGTTCAGAGTGATGGTAAAAGTTTGACATTCTTGTGCGATGACTCTGGTAATATGGTTTTCCTTCGTTGGTATTTTCGATGTTTTGAATGTGTTAGCGTAGACTGTTTAGTGAAACGGGCGACGATTAAATGATTTTGATTGTGATAAAAAATTTTGAACTAATTTCGCTCGGCGTTAGGTTCGTTGTTAATTGTTTTCCTCATGTTTGATTCGCTTGACTTATGGAATATATATCGAGATTAACACAACTTCTTGCAGTTACAAATTTTTGTAGGAGTTCAAAGTTATTTTTTATTGAATCAATGAGGCTATAAGTAGTACATGAAGTGCTATAGACAAGGAAGAAAGTTCACATGCATAGGCTTTAATAGCAGCCTCTCGTGATCTCTACCTGTTGAAAAGTAAATAATACAACTCCAATTAAATTAATTCAATTACATATTTGATTGTTTTTCTTGAACCTTTAATATAGGTTGATTGATATAGTTACAAAATGGGTTTTCACAATTTAAAATATTCCCTCCTAATCATATATGGCTGCTTTGCCTGAAATAAAAGATAAAATAAAATACATTTAATTGTTATGATAATGAGGAGCCTTTGAAATTAATCTAGTGAGAGGCCTCCTCCTTGTTGTCTTGCAGCATATCCAAAATTTGCTAGATAAATTTTCACTTTCTTCATTAAGCTATGAGTTAGAGTTACAAACACCATTCCCATCTTCTTAGCTCCATGTTATGCGTACCCAATCAATAATGGAGGTGCGAGCAAAGATTTTCATAGATGGTGAAAGAAGTCTGTTTAAAATATAAATATGAACTGGTTAAGTGCTGGAGATGAAGATTAAATAAAGATAATCTTATTTTCAGTTATAATTGCTGGTGATTTCTCTCCGTGAAGACAATATTAGTGTTATGAGATACGCTTGGAAGAAGGTTAGACCGTTTAGAAAATGTTGCTATAATGCTCACTGGTTCTCATTGAAGGATTCACCAGCTTAGGAATGTAAAGCACAGTCAGAAAATTTAATTAAAATTATAATGAATTGACAAATGCTGATATGATACATTGGAATTACAAAATTGATTGTCATGGTTGATTTAGAACGCAATTACATATTGGAATTTGGTTATAAGACGGATCATGCAATAATTATTTTTCTTAAATTTACAAGAAAAAAATTGATCTGTTTAATCAAGTGGAAGTTTTGGCTTTGTTTAATGTTCAATGAACTTATATAGAAAAGCCCTTGGAACATTTCAAGGAGTTATCTGTATTTATGGTTAAGTCTGCTTACCGGATGGCTGGAAAAAATTTAGCTGAAATGGGCCATATTCGTCTAGTTTTGTGCGATTAATCTTGAACATGTTGAAATTTTATTTTTCTCGGTGATTTAATCTTTGCCAACCACCACTAAAAGACTGCGGGGGACGGTCTACTAGTTGAATAACTATTAATCATGCTTGTCACCATTAAAAGCATGTTTTGAATGCTGTAGCTGAGAAAAAAGGATTATGGTATCGTACTGGTTTTCTTTTGGGGCAATTTTTTATTTTATTTTTATTTTTTTACTGTTGTTGGAGCATTCATTTATGAAAACTTATATTGTAATTATTCATACCTGTAAATGTGGATATAATCTTTCAATTATGCTAAGGCTGACTTTTTAGGTATTAGTCTCTAATTTCTACTATTATTTTCTTTTTTTTCAAAATTTGCTTCTAGGCATGAACTATAACATAATTAGTGATGATTTAGTTGTGGGATCCCAACCTCAGAAGCCTGAAGATATTTACCATTTGAAGGAGGAGGGAGTGGCCTACATTCTTTGCTTGCAGCAAGACAAAGACATTGAATATTGGGATATTGACTTTGCTTCCATTGCTAAAAGCTGCAGCAATGTAGGCGTTCACCACATGAGAAGACCTGTAAGTTTTTTTTTTTTTTTTTTTTTTTTTAACTTTTTATTGGCGTTTTCTGTACATCCTGAAAAATTGAGCTGTATTTGTTTATCTTTTCCTTGGCATTTCCTGTCTTTCTTCTCTATCGTATTTGCATGTTAATCAAGTTCTTTTGGCTTTATAATATGTTTGTTAAGGAGAATTTCATAATAATACAGTAGATTACATCAATGAAATGCTTAAGTAAATGAAACAATTACATATTGTTAATGTTGAAATGAGGATCCCAAAAGAGTTGAAGTGGAAGCATCACCAGGATGGAGAATAAGGTATCATAAATTAAATGAAAGGAGAAAGAGAAACCACAATACAGGGTGATGTAGGATATATTAAGGTCTAAAATTTTTGATGCAACTACATGATCCAATGTATGTAACCCAAACAAATTAGATTTAGAAATTTGTTTATCCGAAGTACACCAATGAAATCATTACTCATTAGTTTTTTATAAAATCATGAAAATATGAATAATCTATGCCAAATGATAATTTATTGGTCAGTTAAATCAACAAAATTTAATAGAAAATTGAAGCATAAAAAATAACAAGTTAATAAAGATTCATGCCACTAACAGAAATCGATTTGCAACAGATTAGACCAATAAGCAACTATTTAGAAGAAAAGAGAACATGAAAATACTTCACAGACTAGAGAAACTTGGTCTAATGTCAATAAAAATATATAACTTCGCTCAAATATTGCTAACTGTTTTTGCACTATTCTCAAAGAATTTTACATCCAACAAAGCACTGAAGATTGAATATGAATATGAAACTTTACTAAGCAAAAGTCCTTAAACCACACAAATATGATGTCTATATATAAAGAAAAACATTTTTTTAGTGAAAATTAAGCTAAATGATCTAAATAAAAAGCTAAATGATCTAAAAATTAATCTTGATGAATTACGCTCTTATAAATATGGCTAGATATATGGGGTCTTAAATTTCAGGCTTTTAAGATATTTTTCGTAGACAAATATCTTGAAATATTGACATAGACTTTCATCATAAGATTCTTTTAATGAACTTGTTTATCAAAAAATCAGGGACTTAGAACAAAAATAATATTAATTTAGCCATCGTTATAGAATTAATATCTCAACAGACAATTCATCCTAATTTTACTTTCAAACTCCAATTCCAACTCTTTTGAAAGTATGTATCGAAGTTCATGAGCATCAGTTGTAGTTGCAGATTCAGATTCAACATTAAAAATATATTTATGATGTGAGTGCGAATTATTTTATGCATCTTAGAATCCTCAAAAAAAAAAAAAAAAGAACTATCATTTCTTCAATTAGATAAACTTCAACACTGTTTGATTCTTACATTGATGATAATTTTCAAAAGTGATGGTATTGATTTTTTCTTTAAGGACTTTAATAACAGTGTGATAGCCCTAATAGAATGATTGCAGAACTCATTATCTAAATATCTTTATAAAGCCTCATGTAGTGTTTTAGGTGAGCTATAGTTTAATTCATCCCTAACCTCTCACACAAGATCATTAATGAAGCAAATAATGTTAACAATCGTCTAGAGCTAAATGATATTTAGTTAGAAGACATGTAAACCATGCTTAACATTCAAGCAAATCATAATCACTTTATTTACAACTGTTAAATTAATTATACAAATGATCTCTATATTTACTATTGACATAATTTTTAAGCATATATTTTTTATCAGTCCATAATATTTTGATACCAATGCTTCTCTTAAATGATTGAACATGATCCACTAATTTTTATATAGCAAATATAAAGTTCATATATACATATATATAATTATTGATCCAATTTGAAAATTTTCTAATGTTATACTTCCTATACATATTGTTCTAAATCTCATCAACAATCACTTTGTAGATGCCTAGGATCATAGCTTATGCAATTTTTTTTTAAATTGCATCTTTTAGTTTTTCTATTGCCCTAGTTAGTATGTTATACTTCTAGTTAACATGCCGATGCAACCATAAACTATGCAAGGCATCTTAGGATCTAGTTTCCTAATGCGACTAAATAATGTCATATGTGAAACCACACATTTTAAATTTAGGAATTCATAGATCTAAAGATTACCAAATAAACAAGTACTTCCTACATTTTGATGCAATTAAGAAAATATGAACAATTTATGCTACCCATTAATTTAATTATCAATTAAGACAAACGAATTCAATAATAAGTTGAAATCACAAAAAAAAAAAAAAAAAAGAATTTGATTTAAATTCACACCATAAACAATGGTTGTAATAGATTTAAGTGAAATTAGTCAAACTCATAACAACATATGGTGAATTCTTTAGAAGAAAATTGAACTAAGAAAGAATTCTCCAAACAATTTGGGCCATATGCTGACATAGAGTTGACTTTCCCAAGAAATTGATAATCGCTTGCATTGTGCTTGAAGAACTCTACACTCAACTAAGCACTAAGACTTAATAGAAATCTTAATTTTATTAAACAAAAAGTCCTTTTGCATGCCACAATTTTTTTATTTATAAACTTGAAATTCCTTAATGTTGTTCCTTAAATGTCGGTTCAATTTCAATATTGACATAAACCATATAACAAATAAGTCAAGTACTACTAGACAACCCCAACGAATAGGTTCTGCATACAATTGGAGCCAGAAATCTATTGGACATAAAATGCTTGCTATAAAAGCAGAAGGATCGACCACAACTACTAGAACTACAGGACACAAAATTGTTAAAGCTTGTTCGAGCAGTATCAGTAGTAGGATTGTGTTACGCCGGTTCTGTCCGAACCGGCCCAGCAAACCCGCTGTCCGGTCCAGCGGGTGTATACAGTCCGCCTCTTCCTTCTTTGTGGCCGCATGAATGAATGGGTCCCACCCATTATTTGATTTTCAAATTAAGAGAGAGAGTGAGGCGGCTAATGCTTTGGGAGGGAAATTAGATTAGGAAAGCTTTTGTATTAAAGTGCATGAGGGGATTAGGGAGAGGTTATGTTTTGATTGATTGGAATTAGGGTTTCTTGGAGGCTTGAGCTCTAGACAATCTTGTCTAGAGATTTGGGAGAGACGATCCTCCTCTCTAATTGAGGATCTCTTGTATCTTGCTATTTTATTCATCGTCTAGTGGAATCTAAGTGTGTTTTGAGTTTTTCCTACAGTTTTCCTCTAAATTCTCCACTGTTTTGGCTGTTTTACTGCTGTGGACAGCTGTTTTCTTGTTGTGGTACTTTATTTTGGTTAGGGTTGCTTGTGAATACAAGTATTTCCTATCAGATTGGTACCTGACAACCTCCATGGAGCCTAAATCCCAAATAATTCATAGTCATGTTAACTAATAAAACATCAGCAATAGAATTAATTGGGGTATATTTAAATCAAACTAAATGAGAGGTGAACTATACCAAAAAAAATTATAAAATAGAGATTGTACTCCTTTCTCATAGACATGTTTCCTTTAATTGAAAATGCAAACTACTAAATAGAATGTTATGAATTATTTAAAAAATTGTACTAGTTAGCTAATTTGCTCATTATAGCGCATAAGAATTGTGCTTTTGATGAGTGTAAATTTATATATTTCTATCATAGAGAAAACCAAGATTTTTATTGTTCATCTTCAACCAATCTAAGTCCATTGCAAATGAGAGAGAATTTGATTCACTAATGTGAAAGTCATGAGCATGTGTATAAAATGAAAAAAAAACACACAACATCTTTTATGAAACCTAAGTACACTCATGCACAAACAAATAAGAAGCCTAATAGAATATCTAATGTACTAGGTGATTATTTCTCACTAAGATAATGGCCACAAAGGTGAACCCGGCCATAACTCTTGCTCATGTTGTTCACCAATGTTTTTATTCTATAGTTGTTGTGGCCAGAGATAAACTAAAACTTAGAGATCTTCACATCAGAAAACCCTTCTTTTGAGGTCTGTTTTGCTTCATCATTCTCACATAAAACCTTACCGACTTGGTAAATCGTGGAAGCCCCCAGCCATGGATTTGGGCTTGAGCAAACCCTTTTGATAAACATTATATATATATCTATATCGACAGAGGAGATGGCTCCAAGCTGTGGCGCCTTTCATGCAATTTGATAGGAAACATTTGAAGATCTCAAGAATTTCTTAACAATCTTTGAAAACAGCTAGAATTCTCTACAAAAATCCACACAAAACTAGGAAAACAATAGATAATTTGTATTATTTGATGAAATGGTAATGGAAAATATCACGATACAATTGATCCTCTATTCGAGAGGAGGAACTATCACTCCCAAATCTCTAGACGCCGTTAGAGCCCAAAAAATCTAAGAGATCTCAAATTTCAGCCAAATTCAAGATGGCCCTAACCCTAGGGAACCAAACTATCTAATGCATACAATCAAAAAGAAAATATCTAAACAGTCTTTACATTCAATTTCTCTCCTAAATTTCATTAAAAATCATTCCAAAATTGCTCTTTTTGAATTGACGGTTTGATCGGCATGCAGGAGGTGGAGAATGACGGAGAGTTTCGCCTCTGTTGTTCATAAGCCGACCCGATATAGACCGTCTGGACCGGTCTAACACCATTCTCAAGAACCTGTGATGCAACTTAAAAACAAACTTTGATCTAAGAATGCAAATAAAACACACTTATTTTTTCATCCACATAAACCTTAAATAACACAATAAACACAACAATAAATCAGTACTAACATCATTTACAACTTATAATAAAATTTGATATGATACAACTTAAAACTTACAATAGTTTTAGAGAAGAAAGATACAAGAGATATGAAAATCGTGGAGAGAAGAATAGATAGAAGTTCGAGACGAAAAACAAGAAGGAAGGTAGAAGAGGATAACTCGCAAGCTATTACAAACATGCAGGTTTCACATTCTAAATATTCATCACATCTCTCTCTCACACAAAGAAAATCAGCCTCAATTTGTAGGAGAAATAAGAGGGAATAACATTTGATAGATCACAT